CATTATCACATCCAAACTTAAAAAAATAATTACCATAAAACACAGACACAGGCAACAAAAGACAGCAAAATGAAAGCACTGAAAGCGGGAGGGAAGCTTCCACATCCCAAGCCTGAGTCACTCGTAAAACAATTAAGTAACTCCGGTCAGTAAAACCTACATAACCACTAAACATAATACAAAAATTAAATTTAACATAAAAGCTACCAAAAACCCTCTTCATCAGCTACAATATATATATGTATACAAATATAAAAATAAAATAGGAAGGGTAAAGTGACTCAGTTAATCTCTGATCACCTACAGCCGGTAAATCTGCAAGAAAAAAAAGAAAACAATTACTTTATGACCATAGTAACAAAACAAAATGATTTACTTCATGAAGAAATAAAATGCAATTACTCATTAAATTAAAGACCAACTAAAATACATAATTAAATTAACTAAAAGCTACCAAAACCCTCTTCATCAGCTACAATATATATATATGTATACAAATATAAAAATAAATAGGAAGGGTAAAGTGACTCAGTTAATCTCTGATCACCTACAGCCGGTAAATCTGCAAGAAAAAAAAGAAAACAATTACTTTATGACCATAGTAACAAAACAAAATGATTTACTTCATGAAGAAATAAAATGCAATTACTCATTAAATTAAAGAAAAAAAAAAAAAAATCTATAACTTCTGGATATGAGTATAAAAAAAAGAAAGAAAAACAAAAATTACTACCTTTAAAGACTAAAAAAAAAGGAAAAAGAGGGTTAAATCTTCTCCATACACTGAAAATAAAACTAAATCATATATATACAAAAATAATCACCTAATGAACACAACCGTTACACACTGATGAGGGTAAAATGCAACACATTAATATTTCGGCATGCTTAACTATTAGTGTACATTGAAGAAAATGCATCACACGGCAGAATAGTAACTTCTAAATGATCTAGGCAAGACAGGAAGTAGCTAAGGTTAACCACAGAGCATTCAGTTTACATATGGTATAAACACTAACCATCTTAAGAAACACTCAGACTGTGTCGAATTAGATACTGAATTCGATAAATACCTGAATCAAACAGTCAGCAGCAAGAGATTACTAAATGATCTCTATCTTGCAAACGGTCCTTTTTCAATTGTGAGAATATTGGTTACCAGGGAAGTGTTATCAAATATACATTTCCCAAGCTGTGATGATGATGTATGGTACCCAGTTGGGAGTCGGACAAGCCATTTTCATCCCTCACAATTGTCCATTTCCTTACGCATTTTGCATTTGTATATCGTATATGGTAAATTGCGTAACTGTGTATGCCATTTTCAAAGAAATTGCTTGTCATCCAAAAATTATGAAATTGATGAGAAACTAAATGAATCACAATGTATATGTATATAGCACATGCATATGAACACACAAACACATACTCCAACTCATTCATCATTCACACAGTGAAAATGCAAGAGGCACACGCACAGTCACATATAAAAACAAAATGAGCGAAAACCCTGACACGCACTCACAATAGCAAATTCACAAACTGGAAACTGTACAAAATGGGGGGGTGGGGGATTCTTAAAAAAAAAAAAAAAAAAAAAAAAAAAAAAAAAATATATATATATATATATATATATATATATATATATATATATATATATATATATATATATATATATATATACATATATATATATATATACATATACATATATATATATAAAATTCATAATTCCCTTAACCTTCACCCGCGTGTCTTTCTTCTTTTTTAAGCTTGGAAAACAGAAAAATTTCCCCACAAAGTTATTCTATGCCATCCAGATGATTACTGAGAGTAAATATTGTTTAATATAAAGTCACTAAAATGAAATGCAGCCACTGAAATGGAAAGAAAAGAAAAGACAAAAAAATCTGATGGTTACGTACTGTATTCCTTTTCCTAGTTATTATATTTTCACAACGGCTGCATTTCATTTTGTACTGATTTTTTCACAAGATGCTGTGTACTTGTATGTTGTCACAATTACTCCTTTTAATAATGTCATTACACCTTCTTTGTATCATTTCCTCTCTCTGGAAGTCAGAGTCGCACAATGGGAGAAAGGAAGAAAACGACAACAAATCCATCCATTTCTATTAACAAATTCTGAGAAATACATTTGTAAAATAATCTGAGGTATATCTAAAGTACCACATTCCATGATAATTGATAATAATGTTGAAGACAGCATTTCAGGCAAATTTTGTATTCTGTAACATGCAGTAACATTTTACAACATCTAAATACCTCATAACAATGACTTCTTCAATATTGTTCTAAAGAAGTTTTCAATAGTATCACTTCTATACATTTATAGAGCAAAACCTTACACATTCAACACCATTTCACATTCAGAAAATTATGTAAATTCAAAACATTCACATGACTATCTCAAAAAAGTACTTGCACACAATGAGAACAAAATAATACTCTTACACTTTATCAAAGGCAGTATGTTTAAAAATGGAGAGAAAAAATCATACTAAAAGCAAAATCAACACAAACTAATAATTCTCTTTTGCTAAACATCAGTACCGATCTTTTTCCCCAAATCTGAATATACATTTTCTTTACATACCTACCTAAACTCTCTCTTGTGATCCCTGTTCTCCCAATACAGGAAAGACACAACTTCTCTTTATAACAAAAATGAAGAAAAAGAAGAAGAAGAAGAAAAAACAAAACAAAACATCACATTTTGTTAACACTATGAGTCTGAGTTCAAATAATATTGAAATCTAACATAGCTACAACAAACTCTGCACCAATAATGTTTATCCTAATTCTCAATAACAAAAAGCTGTAAACCATACAAGTTAAAATCAAGAAGGCTTGAATGATAAAAACCAGGAAAAGTCTTACATCTGACATGAGAGAGTGATACAAAATGCCACAAGTCATTAACACATCAGGCTGGGTTGGCCAGGTTTGTTCCGAGGTAAGAGCAGATATGTTTTAACTTCATACTATCAGCTGCTGGAGCAACTCCAGTCACAGTTGAGTTGCATCAGCTATTCAGTATTTTCTTCTTAGAAAATGCAGAGCAAAGCAAGTCAGATGGAAATAAATATCTAGATATCTCCCATTTTCCCTTACATATTCTATTCCAGAGAAACAGCTTCAGTAATGAAATTAAAAATATATGGAAGACCAGCTCCTACTAATCTTTTCATGCATTCAGCACTCATGGTGGACTACACTCGTTGCAAACTGAAGCCTATTGTTGTCTACAATTTTCACATTTCTTTAACTGAAAAAGGCTAAACATTGTAAAACTGGGAATAAATGTTTAATTACTTTATCCATATTCTTTAGCTTTTGGAATTCACTACAGTCTGATGAAAGCCCAGCTGCATTTTGCAAATAGGAAATGGGTGTCAGCAAAGATTCAAATAAAATAAAAATAATTAGTTTTCTTCCCCATCTTCTTATTTATTTTCTCATTAAACATAACTACTGGTCATGTTGACAGTCCATTACTAAATATCTTTCAAGCTTCTAAATAGTGCAATATGCTAAAAGAAAACTGATTCTTGTTTTTTCTTACCAAATTATGTCACTAACTCTGTGCTTTGTGAACACTTTTCTTTCAAGTTCTGCATGGAATTTCTAAAATTGTTGAACATTTTTTCCTAATATATAAATTTTTAATAATAAAACACTCACATCTATTTAAGTACTTTGCAATCTTCTTGAAAAAATATTTTTTCTGTGTGAAAATGATGAAAAGATGAAACTGAGAATGTCACCAGCTCAAGACACACAGTATAGAAGATTCTAACAAGATTTTTTTTTTATTACAAAATACCATTCAATAAGTTATCTAACAAAGATGAAGCAGTGTTATAATGGGTAGAATTGCAAGAAAGTCAAGAAATCTCATCCAGAGGTTGAGTACCTTGCCTCTGAGAGCATTTTTCAAACCTACATCTTTTAAGGATATCAAATACATTTAGCCTGAATGACTAACGACAGAACAGGACATGAAACAGTTTCCTACCAATGGATATATCAATAAATTTCATCTACCTTCCTTTAGTGCCCCTACAATAAATGTTAAATCACCTCTAAAAAGTGGTTTACATATTTCCACTAGACCTGTTTGAAATAACACACAAAAATAATAGTAAAAAGCATGAAAAGTATTGACAAAAAAGGCAGTGTTAATGAAAATTACAATAATCAGGGTGACTAGACTTTAAAATGTTTTGTAATTAA